GGTGTGCCGAAATGGCCCGAGGCCACCATGCAAACCCTGCCACTGGGGCCTTCGGCGGAGCTCCCTATGGGGCCACGATCCTCGTGAGGGGTGCGCCGAAATTGCCCGAGCGAGCCCTGCCACAGGGCCTTCGGTGGAGCTCCCTATGGGGCCACGATCCTCGTGAGGGGTGTGCCGAAATGGCTCGAGGCCGCCATGTGAACCCTGCCACTGGGGCCTTCGGTGGAGCTCCCTATGGGGCCACGATCCTCGTGAGGGGTGTGCCGAAATGGCCCGAGGCCGCCATGCGAACCCTGCTACTGGGGCCTTCGGTGGAGCTCCCTCTGGGGGCACGAAGCGTGTGAGGGGTGTGCCGACATGGGTGATGATGATGATGATGACGATGGTGATGGTGGTGACGACGTCGATGATGACGATGATGATGATGACGATGATGATGATGATGATGAGGAGGATGGAGGGGGCAGCGGGAGGAGGAGGTGAACGCGGGCGCTGTCTCTTCAAAACGAAGACCCAACACCACAGGATGGTTGGGAACAAAACCCAACAGCAAATCTGCATGGCGCGCGTTCTCGCCATTTCGCTTCCGACGCCCCCCCGAGACATCAAGATGGCTCCAAGATTGCCTGGATTGGGCTCAGGGCTCCAGCATGGCCCCAGGAGCGCCCGCCCACCGCCGCCCCACCCCCCCCATCGATGGGGCATCCGCAGCGAGGGCTTCAGCACAGTGCGCCACCGCCCCATCGCTCTCGCCCTCGGCCCTCGGACCCCCCCCCCCTCCCCCCCCCCCCCACCACCACCACCCCACCCGCGCAACAACAACGATGCCCGGGAGACGGTGACATGCCGCCTGGAGCGGCTGCCATCGGCGGTGTTAGCAATGCTAGCCGCACCCCAGCTGGTCAAAGGCCAGTTGTAGCTCCTCCAACTTGTCCCCCCTTCTCCTCCTCCTCCTCCCCCTCATCCTCCTCCTCCTCCTCCTCATCCGATTCGCCAGCCTTGTCCCTCCTCCCTCATCAGCTCGCCTGGGCGCCCTTTCTGGATGGGCTGGCGGGGGCGCGCGAAGCGTCGGGAACGTTGGTGGAGGGGCGCGGTGGCCGACGAGGAAGACTACGAGGAGGACTACGAGGGGGGAGACGGGGGGATGGAGAGGGCGACGAGGAGGACGTGGGCCGCTCGCTCCGTTTCCGACGAGGGAGAGGGCGAGGTCAGCGTGCCGCCTGCCCTTGTTCCGACGGCAACCTCGGCCCTCGGTCGAAGAATTACTCCTCGACGGGGTCGCGCAAGGTATGCTGATGCACAAAAAGCTCGAGGCCCTGAGGAAGTCGTACACCCCAACCTCCGATGGCCATTCAGTCGTCGACGATCATCTCGCAAGTGACCATCAGGCTGACCTTCACGCCGCGCCGAAGCGGCCGCTCAGCTCCAACAAGGTCTGGGCCGCGCGAAGCTCGCGGCCCACGTCGGTCAGGAAGGCCTCGGGAGGCACGAGGCCCAGGCCCTCAGAAGGCCCCAAGAGGGCGCACATGTGGCCCCGAGAGGTGGGGCGTCTTGGAGACCACGTTGCGCTCTCTCAGGCCCTCTAGGGGCCATGATGAGATATCTTGGGCACTCCGGGGTATCTACCCTGGCTTAAGCCGCCTCGCTCGCCCCCGCCCGTCCTCCCAACGCACAGGTAGCACCTGTGCCAATGGTCCCCAGGGCCATGGAATCCCATGCAGGGGCCGAGGGCCCTGGAGTCTCAGAGCCCTAAGAGCCCGATGAAAGCCCGACGCGCCCCGGGAACCCCGAGACTCTCAAGGGCCCTAAGTGCCATAAGGGACCTATAGGAACCCTGAGAGCCTTAGGTGCACAAAGAGCCCTGGGCGCCCAAAGAGTCCATAGAGCCCCATGAACTCTGCGAGCCCCAAGAGCCCCGAGGGCCCCGAATGATCAGAGGGGCCCCAATAGCCCGAAGAGTCGCAAGGCCCTCAGAGCCCGAAATGCCCCAAGAGCAATCAACAGAGCTCTATGATACATTTGACTCATCGGGGCCCTAAGAGCCCCAAGAAAAGCCGCGCGAGCCATAAGAGCCCTAAGAGCCCTCAGAGCCCCGCGCGCCCTCGGTGCCCCAAGGGCCATAAGAGCCCTAAGAGCTCTGATAGCCCTGGGAGCCCTAAGAGCCCCGAGGCTCCTAAGCGCCCTAGGACCCCTAGATCCCTGAGAGCCCTAATGGCAAACGGAACTCTTAGAGCCCGAAGAGGCCTCAGGGGCCCTGTGATCCGTCGGAGCCCGATGAGCCCCAGGAGCCCTATGAGCCCGACGAGCCCTAAGGGCCCGAAGATCCCGAAGAGCCCTAAGATGCCGAACGCGACCACGACCACGACGACGGCGACGACGAGAGCCCATAAGGAGGAAGAGGAGGGCGGAGGAGGAGGAGGGATGGGGGAGGATTGCCAAGTGCGTTATGTGCTCAAAGGGGCTTTCAATAGCCGCGGAGGCCTTGGCCTCGGCGGTCGTGCTCACTTAGCGGATGGAGCTGCCGACGCCGTTCTGGACCTTCTCGATGTCCTGCGACATGCACTGCAGCTTGGCCTGGAACGCGCTCATGTCATCCTTGACGCTCTGGCGGAACTGAGGGAACAAGCGATGGCCCACCACCCTGTTGACGGCCGTCAGCGTCTCCGTCACCTTTTTCTCGATGCAGTCGGCCAACTTGCCATTCGCCGCCGCCGCCTTGCGGCTCTCGGCGGCGGCCTTCCTCTCCTGCTTGGCCCTCTCCTTCTCCTCCAGCGCCTTCTTGCGCTCCTTCTCCTTCCTCGCCCGTCCCTTCTTCGCTGTTTTCTTTTTTCTGCTTCTTCGCCTTCTTCGCCTTCGTCTTTTTTCTTGTTCTTCTTGTCGCCCGAGCTGCTGCTCGAGTCCGAGCTGGTGTCCGAGTCGTCGTCGTCCGAAGGTCCCTCATCAGGCTCCTCGTCGGCGTCAGCGACCGTCGCCTTCTTGATCTTCTTGAAGAGTGCGAGGCCTCGGCGACGTGGGACCGTTCGGTGCCCCTGGCTCCGCGATGGCCTCCAGACAGGATCGAGACGCGGTACGTTGCGCCCAAGACCCTGCACTGCCTCTTGTCCTTCTCCAGGCTGTTGGCCTCGATGAGCGCGGCATCGGAGCCGCGGCGCGTGCTCCACGCGCCTGGGGGGGGGGGGGAACTCCCCCCCCTCGGCGTAGTAGCCCTCGTGATTCTCGTAGCTCCGCATGAGCTCCTTGACTTTGGCGACCGCCATCTTCCCGCTGGAGACGTCGCGCACGTCCTTGAAGAAGGCCTGCTGCGTCTCCTCGCCCAGGCGCTTGAAGTCGCTGCTCGGGAACTCGCCGAACTCGCGGCTAAGCTGCGTGATGTGGACATTGCAACGGTCGCACCTGTACTTCTGCTGCGACTTGCCCCTCAGCCGATCCCTGTCTGCAGTTACCTCTTCGTTGCACCACCCGCGTCGCAACCGAACGTCATGCGTGAACGTGGGGCGCGTGATCATCGTCGGCTCTGGGCGCATCTGGGCGGGCGGCGGCGGCGGCAACTCTGGGAAAGGCGCCCCGGGCGGGGGCTCCTCGGCGGCAGCGCCGCCATCAAGCGGCGGCGCGTCCTCTGGCGCCTCGGGGGGGGCGCCCGCTGCGTCGGGCGGGTCGTCGGCGCCCCGCGGCGCCATCATGCTCAAGACGGAGACGACCGCCACCCTCGCCTTGGGCTTGGCCTTCGGCTTCGGCTTCGCCGTCGCCTTTGGCTTCGGCTTTGGCTTCGCCTTTGGCCGCGCCCCAGCCTTCGCCGCCGCCGTGGGCATCGCCTCCGCGCTCGGCGGCGACGCTGGGCTTGGCGGTGGCACCGAGCCCGCCCCGCCCACCGCCTCAGCGGGCACAGCCTGCGTCTCCTGGGGCGGCCGCGGCACGCGCCGCAACTGCGGGCTGCCGGGCGGCGTCGCGTCGGCGCTGATGGTGTCGACCTCGTCGGCGTCGTCGGCGGCGTCGGGCGGGCTGCCTGTCAGCGCCGCCTCCGCCCTCCCCAGGGCCCGCTCCGTCGTTCGACATTGCGGGCAGGGGAAATCGTCGAACTGCATGTTGTGGACGTCGAGGTGCATGTCCACGCAGTAAGCGCGGTATTTGCGAAGGCAGCCGAGCGTCCGAACCTCCGTGCCGTCCAGCAACACTTGCAGGCAGATCGCGCACGTGGTGTCGTCGGCATCGCTAGCGGTGGCCATCTCGGCCCCCTGTCGCGCCGCGCGCGGGCGCGAGCCGCTCCCGTGTAGGTGGCAACCGGCGAAGCGGAGGCGCCGCTCGAGCCAGCGGAAGACCGCCGGGGAGGAGGAACATGTTTCGGAGGAGGGGGAGATGGGGGGGAAGAGGATGCCAGAAGGACGTATCGGACCGTTACCAACCCGTTATCACACGGTTATCATGGCCGTTATCACCGTTACCAGGCGCGTTATCAAGGGCTGTGATAACAACCTGATAACATCTGATAACCGTTATCAAAGATGTCTGCTAACGCAAATGTTTCGCACTTCGTGCTATCAGCGTTATCAAGCGGCGTGATAACATGTTATCATATTTATCGCGCGCGTTAACAACATCTGATAACCGTTACCACGGTGTTATCCGATAACCTTGGTAACAATGATAACGAGCGTGATAACACTGATAACAAGGCTGATAACGGGATGGTAACATGATCATGCTGGCGACGTGGCAGGAAAGGGCACCCAAGTGTTCGCCCGCGGGCGACAGCCCCCCCCACCCACCGCCTCTTCCTCTGGGCTTTCCTGGGGGCTCTTTGATCGGGCACGCGTGATGTTGCGCCCCGAACGCGGCTGGCTCTGAATGCATAGGCCCAGGCGCGATGCACACAGCCCCGACGGTGCGGAGCTCGCGTGCATCTTAGACTCGGTGCTTGCTCCTCCACCTCACCCTCCTTGTCCCCCTCATGCTCCTCACCCTCCCAGATCCTATCCAGTGCAAAGGCAGGCTGGGCGCGCAGCTCAACGCGCCCGCGACCAGCTGCACTTGGCATCCCACATCGCGGCTGCCGCGCCGTAGGCCTTCTTCGCCACCTCGACCGATGCATCATGGGAGTAGCCGTCGTCAGCTGCCCGCTTCTTGGCCCTGGAGTACATCCTCGATGCGAACGTGTTCTTGTTGACGCTCCCGTCCGAGCCCGTGCGCGCAACGATGTCGGAAATGAGCGCCTGGACCTTGGGCTTGGACATGGGCGTCGTCGTCGCCGCGTCCTTGGGCTTGGCTCTCGGCTTCGCCGCCGTCTTCGCCTCTGGCCGCCCTGTGGCCTTCGGCGACGAACGCTGGTCCTCCACCTCCTCCTGCTCACCGTCCTCGTTCTCCTGCTCGCGCTCGTCGGCCGCCCGGCATGCCGCTGGGCGCTTCTTCGCCTGCTTCGTATTCTTCTTGTGCAACACCATGTTCATGGCCTCCTCGACCTGTGTCTTGATGTCCATCCTCAAGGGCCGCGCGAGCTCGGCGGCTGGCTCAGCGGCTGGCGGCGCGCTCGCCGCTGCCGACGCCACGATCGGCTGCGACTGGGTCGGGGGCGCCGCTGCCGACGCCACGATCGGCGGCGACTGGGTCGGGGGCGCCGCTGGCGACGCCGCGATCTGCAGCGACCCCTCTGCTGACGATGTCACGTTGGGCGGGCCAGCGTGCTGCGATCCCGCGGTCGGCGCCGCGGCCTGTGGAAGGCTCGCCAAGGCATCGCTCGAGCCCGCGCGAGCCGCACCCGTCGTGGCGAGAGCAGGGTGTCTACCAGGCCGCCGATTCGCGCCGAACGCCGTCAGGTTGTCCAAGAGATCGCCGCCCCCTGTCGGCGCCGCGCTCTGGCCCCCTCGCATGCCTTCCGCCACCGCGCCGAAAGCCATCTGCATCATCTGCTGCATCTGCTGTTGCATGTGCTGCTCCATCTGGTTCGGAGGCGCCCTGGCGGCCAGCTCCTGCGACGCCGCGCCGCTGGCGCGGTCCGAGCAGGCGGGCGCGGCACCGCGGCACCGATGGGGTGCCTCCAAGTCTCGAAGGAGCCACATGTCCAGGGGGCGCGCGGCTCGGCCGCCCCCAGGCATTGCCGAGAACGCGGCATGGTAGACCGTCGGGAACGACGCCAGGAGGTCCTGAGGCGCCTGCGGGAGCTCCAGCATATAGGCGCTGGGCCGCGGCGACTTCTCCGCCACGCGGTGGTGCGCCGTCTTGAAGTTGTCGAAGTACTTCTTCTTGTCGTAGTAGGACATGGTCTCGACCCGATCGGGCATGGTGCTGAGCACGAAGGCCGAGTTAGCAAGTTTCAGCGAATACTCGTCCGCATGCACGCCCCCCCAGGCGAATGATGCGCTGCGCCAGCATGGTCTGAACTGCGCTCGGTGGGACCCATTCCTCGAACAGGCGGTCCCATCCTGCCGCTGTGACGTGGCTCACCAGGGCCAAGAAGTCCTGGCGTTTCGCGCGCTGCCGCGCGGGGCCCATCGGCCCATGTGCACTGGGCGCCAGGGCCTGCAAGACGCTCAGGTCGCGGTGGCCGTGCCAGTTCACCTGGGAGACGAGGGCCGCTGCGCTCGCCTTCTGGTCGTCAGAAAGACCTGCTTGCTCCCTCGCAACCAGGGTCTCCAAGGCGTTCGCCTGCACCTGCGATGTGGACTCGTGGCGAGGCGAGCCAGTCATGTCCTGCAGGAGAAGTCGCACGGCGCCGATGCGCGCCATCAGTGTCTGCGACATGGTCGCTGCTCCTGGGCCAGCGGAGAAGCCGCTGCAGCGGTGGTACCACTAGGGGAGGAGGGCGATGATGATGGGGCCGGGGGAGGGGCGGGGGGGGGGGGAGGTGCGGGCGGGGAAGGAGGACGAGACGGATAGGGGGGCGGGGAGGAGGGCCAACGACCAGAGAGAACCCAGGATGCATCAGCGATGCTGCTACACACCCTTCCGTCAATGCCCCCTCCTCATAAGTCAATGCAAACATCCCCTGTCACACCTGACGATGCGGCGATGCCGCCCCATGCGCGCAATATGTTCTGCTTCGCCATCGCAGCGCACCATCGTCGTCGTCATCGTCATCATCCTCATCAACATCCTCACCATCCTTCTCATCGTCCACATCGCCACCACCCCAATCATCATGAGTATCAGCTTCTCCCTCGTCCTCCCCCGCATGTCTTTGGCTCACGAGCGTTCGCTTTCTAATTTGCTGCACCGAATCCCACTCGGTTGCATGGCCATGGAGCCTGAGCGGGCGACCATGGAGGAGCCCGCGCGATCGGCCGCTAGCAGTGGCAGAAACCGATCGAGAAGCCGATCGAGAAGCCGATCGAGTGCGCTGCTCGACCCGACCGATGAGCCGATCGAAAAGCCTGCGCCCGAGAAGCGGACGAAAAAGCTGTAGCAGATGTTCGACTGCATCGATGCAGTCGAACAGCTGCTACAGCTTTTTCGCACACGAATCGGGCTTCGCACGACCTTCGAGAAACTGGTGCGCCCGATCATGCCAGACCACCCGCCCGTCGGTTTGCGCCTGAAGAAGGTCAGCCTGATCAGACGATCTCGTATGTGACCATCGGTGGTCACATGCGAGATCGTCGAGGGCTGGGAGTGACCGGGCCACTCTGATCTGTGCGATATCGGCCCGCAGCTCGGCCCTGCTAAACTCAACCACAGTGATCGGCCTGCAGTGCAAGCGCTGTTTGGGGGTCGGTGCAACCGTTGCCGTCGTCGTCGTCGAGTCGTCGTCGTCGTCGTCGTCGTCTGCCTGCCTCTTCTCCTATACATCCCCCTCGCCTCCTGCGCGTCCCCCTCCTCCCTCCCCTTGGCCTGGTAGCAGGGGAATTGGTGGCAGCAGAGCAGGGCGTTTTCGGACGAATGGCTTGAGACATCCTCACAATCGGAATATTCGCACGTTTCGAATTGAACTCGCAATCGCAATATCCGTAGTTTCGAATATGACATCCTCGCGGAATATAAACTCAGCTGAAACACAACATAGCGGGGAAGCCGCTGAAACAACACGCGGGAGCGGGGAAGCCGCGAAGTTTGCGGTGGGGGGGGGATGGGGGCCGACGAGGACGACGACGGCGACGACGACGACGACGGGGACAACGACAAGGACGAGGACGAGGACGCCGAGGACAACGACGACGACGACGACGACGACGACAGGGACGGCGAGGACGACGAGGACGGGGATGCGAGGGCTATTTCCCAACCATCCTGTGGTGTTGGGACCTCGTTTTGAAGAGACGGCGCCCCGCGTTCCTCCTCCTCTCCTCTCCTCTCCTTCCTCCTCCTCTCTCCCATCCTCCTTCCTCCCACCATCATCTTCACCTCTCACGCGCTTCGTGGCCCCATGCGGAGCTCGGGAGCTCCACCTATGGCCCCAGTGGCGCAGCCCGCATGCGGTACGCGCCCCATTTTGGCACACCCCTCACACGCTTCGTGGCCCCATAGGGAGCTCCACCTTAGGCCGCAGTGACGCAGCCCGCATGCGGTACGCGCCAAATTTTGGCACACCTCTCACACGCTTCGTGGCCCCATACGGAACTCCACCCAAGGTCCCAGTGGCGCAGCCCGCATGCGGTACGCGCCCAATTTTGGCACACCCCTCGCACGCTTCGTGGCCCCATAGGGAGCTCCACCTATGGCCCCAGTGGCGCAGCCCGCATGCGGTACGCGCCCAATTGTGGCACACCCCTCGCACGTTTCGTGGCCCCATCGGGAGCTCCACCTATGGTCCCAGTGGCGCCGCCCGCATGCGGTACGCGCCCAATTTTGGCACACCCCTCACACGTTTTGTGGCCCCATACGGAGCTCCAACGTAGGCCCCAGCGGCGCAGCCCGCGTGCGGTGCGCGCCCAATTTTGGCACACCCCTTACACGTTTCGTGGCCCCATAAGGGGGCTCCACCTTAGGCCCCAGCGGCGCAGCCCGCATGCGGTGCGCGCCCAATTTTGGCACCCCCCACGCGCTTCGTGGCCCCATAGGGAGCTCCACCCAAGATCCCAGTGGCGCCGCCCGCATGCGGTACGCGCCCCATTTTGGCGCACCCCTCACACGTTTCGTGGCCCCATAGGGAACACGGGCGAAGATGGTATCACAATTGCGGCATTCACAACTGCATATGGTCGGGTCCTTCGCCATGCAAATTTTTTGTATGTGATGCAGCCAGTGCTGAAGCAACACCGAATTCTAATTGAAATAAAAGTAACGCCTGCTTCTGGGCCGCACTGGGCGGCTTCTTGAAAAGCCTCCTGTACTCGGCTCCCCAGCCCTCTCGCCGAGCCTCGTGCAGACCCGAATGCCACTGCGCGCTGGCAGACGTCGCCCCGCCCCCACCGCCCCAGCGAGGCCCCTTTGGGTTGCCCGCCCTCTCGCGAAACCAGCCGCTGCCCTGTCGGCACTGCCCTGTGTGCGATGCGGAGGACGAGGGCGCGGCCGAAGGTCTTGCTGGCACGCTGAACAACCGTGCTGAGGACGAGGGCGCGGCCGAAGGTCCTGCTGGCGCGCGGGGCTGGCCGTCGGAGATGCCGTCGGGCTTGTTGTCGGAGCTGCCGCCGAGGATGTCGTCGTACTTGTTGTCGTCGGGCTTGTCGTCGGAGACGCCGTCGGGCTTGTTGGCGGCCGCTGGCAGCTGCTCCATGCTCGCGTCGATGTCGGCGAAGATCCAGCAGTAGTGGGCGCGGGCCTGCTCGGGCGGCTCGAACCCGCACTCTGACGCCATGACAGCGAAGTGGCCGAAGTCGCCCCAGACGGTGCGCGGGTCGAGACGCAGCCTCATGCATGCATCGAGGGCGGCTGGGTAGCACTCAGCTTCGAACCGGAAAATCGCCAACGTTGCATCGGCCCACGTGCCGTTGTAGTTGCATGTGCCGGCAGCGCACGTGGCGCCCATCATCGCGCGGATCGCGCGTCGCAGGATGCCGCTCGCGCCCTCACGCAGTAAAGGGCGCCGTTCGATCCAGTGCCAGAACGGCATCGGGGGGGGGGGGGCGCGGAGGAGGCTCGGGCTCCGAGCAGGCCCACCCCCTAGGGCCTCGGCGTCACTCCCCCCAACGGGCGCTCGACAGGGCCGCGCCCGACGCCAAACACTCAGGGGCGTCACGGGCGACAGGCCCCGATTGGGGCCCGTGGGGGAGCGACGGGGGGAGGGCCACGAAACCAGCAGGATTGGCCCCGAGCGGTTCCCAAGACGGCCCCTGATGATTCAAGACGGCCCTCAAGGTGGCCTGGTGCATCGCGAGAAAGGCATCCCTCAACCACGCGTGGTTGAAGGATGCCCTTCTCACGATGTACGCGCTGGCACTTCCACTCGTGACACCGAGGGCAGGATCTGGAAGAAAGTCACTTTCACCGTGACCCTTCATATTGTTCAGGATTGGGTTCGGCCCTCGCCGTCGTCCATGGACGAGGGGCCGCGTGGTGGGCACCGCGTGGTGGGTACCGCTTTCGGCGGAGCTCCCTATGATGCTATGAACCGTGTGAGGGGTGTGCCGAAATGGTCCGAGGCCGCCATGCGAACCCTGCCACTGGGGCCTTCGGTGGAGCTACCTATGGGCCGAAAAGGCCCGGGGCCGCCATGCCAACCCTGCCACTGGGGCCTTCGCAGGAGCTCCTTATGGGGCCACGGTCCTCGTGAGGGGTGCCCCGAAATGGCCCGAGGCCGCCATGCTAACCCTGCCACTGGGGCCTTCGGTGGAGCTCCCCACAGGGCCACGATCCTCGTGAGTGGTGTGCCGAAATGACCCGAGGCCGCCATGCGAACCCTGCCACTTGGGCCTTCGGTGGAGCCCCACGATCCTAATGAGAGGTGTGCCGAAATGGCCCGGGGCCGCCATGCGAACCCTGCCACTGGGGCCGTCGGTGGAGCTCCCCACAGCGCCACGATCCCCGTGAGGGGTGTGCCGAAATGGCCCGAGGCCGCCATGCGAACCCTGCCACTGGGGCCTTCGGTGGAGCTCCCTATGGGGCCACGGTCCTCGTGAGGGGTGCGCCGGAATGGCCCGAGGCCGCCATGCGAACCCTGCCACTGAGGCCTTCGGTGGAGCTCCCTATGGGGCCACGATCCGCGTGAGGGGTGTGCCGAAATGGCCCGAGGCCGCGATGCGAACCCTGCCACTGGGGCCTTCGGTGGAGCTCCCTATGGGGGCCACGATCCTCGTGAGTGGTGTGCCGAAATGACCCGAGGCCGCCATGCGAACCCTGCCACTGGGGCCTTCGGTGGAGCCCCCCGCAGGGCCACGATCCGCTTGAGGGGTGTGCCGAAATGACCCGAGGCCGCCATGCGAACCCTGCCACTGGGGCCATCGGTGGAGCTCCCCGCAGGGCCACGATCCTCGTGGCGGGTGTGCCGAAATGGCCCGAGGCCGCGATGCGAACCCTGCCACTGGGGCCTTCGGTGGAGCTCCCTATGGGGGCCACGATCCTCGTGAGTGGTGTGCCGAAATGACCCGAGGCCGCCATGCGAACCCTGCCACTGGGGCCTTCGGTGGAGCTCCCTATGGGGCCACGGTCCTCGTGAGGGGTGTGCCGAAATGGCCCGAGGCCGCCATGCTAATCCTGCCATTGGGGCCTTCGGTGGAGCCCCCTTTGGGGCCACGATCCTAGTGAGGGGTGTGCCGAAATGGCCCGGGGCCGCCATGCGAACCCTGCCACTGGCGCCTTCGGTGGAGCTCCCCACAGGGCCACGATCCCTGTGAGGGGTGTGCCGAAATGGCCCGAGGCCG